ATCCGAGGTGGGCGTGGAGGGCTCCTGTGCATGTCCACCATTCCCCAGCAGATTTTCCTCCGACGTCGCTGTGTTGGCCGTCATTATTTCGTTGGTTTTTTTTGGAATATCTATTTCGTCTTTGCCTCTTCTTTTAGCGCTTCTTTGACCTTGTCTTCACATGCAAAAAATAAACAACACAAAAAAACACACAAAAACACAATGGTTATAAGGTGGTGCAAAAAAAAAAAAAAAAAACAAAATAGAAGAGCGTTTGCAAAAAATAAAATAATTGCCAACTTGAAAACTCGTTTATTTCGGTGTTTATTGTGCGTCGACTTTTACTATTATTATAAGTTTTGTTCCATCTGTGTCAAATTGGAGTTTGTAAACAGGTTTTCATGCCAGCAAATTATATATAATTATTTCTATTTGCTTTGGATTTATGTCGAAATTTGAAAGCTCTGCGATTGGTTGTTATATTATTTCACTTGAATGGTAAAAACAAACACTTAAATACGCAAACAAAAATTGTATTTAGGGCCTGTTTATATTTGACTTTATTTGATTGTATTCTTTATTTTTGTAGACTTTAAAAACCAGTTAATGATTAAGTTCCTTTCTTTAAAAAATTTTTCCATTGTTTAATTTTTTTTCACTGTGTTTCTCAACAATCCACATATTACAAATAATATTTTTCTTTGTTACTGTAAGTTTGTTGCTCATAATTTTGATAGCACTCATAAAATGATTAGTTTTATTTTTTGTGGACTATGTTGCTTATGATTTTTGAGTATTATTTTGAAGTTAATTTAGGTTACTTGTTATGATAAATTTAAAATGTTAGTTTTATATATTATTTGATTTTAAAAGCGTATTTTTTAATCCCTTTGGGCGGGTGAATAACTTTTTAATTATTTATTTGTGGCAATTCAATCAAAATAGTTGTATTTTTTACACTTGTTTTTTGTTGGTAGTAACAAGAGATTGTTATGTTTACGTTTTAATTAAATGAAGGGTTATTTTTTGTTGATAGCTCGGCTCGTTATCGCGCAGCGACTCGCTATTTACTATTTTTGTTTGGCATTACATTTAATTGTTTGTCCACATGCGATCGACGCTGTTCACCGTCGAAAGTCTGCGTTGTATATGTATTACATATGGGGCTCCGATCCGATCCAATCCGATCCGGGTTGCGATCGCTTCCTGTGCGCTTGACACGACAATTCGTACTGAAACTCGGAATCGCGAGGGTGAACTAACCTTATTTTCAATGGAGATTTGGTTTTACGATTGCATTGTTGCTGTTGCTGTTACTGTTGGTGTTGACTTTGCCTTTGCCTTTGCTTTTGATTTTGACTTTGCTTTTACTTTCTCACATACACAAAAGCACACCCCACACACTTGTTGTTTTTTGTTATTTTTTTTTTGTTTTTGTTTATTGTTGTGTCGAAATCTAATCACCACGTATCGTATCGATGAGATATTACTGCCTTTGGCTGCCTTTGCCATGTCTTTATCTTTGCCACTGTCTGCTCCACTATTATAGTTTTATTTATTTTCATTACTTTTATTCGATTTACTTGTAAGCGTTATGTAGCTTTTCTCAGTGTACTGATGTGAAATTGAACAATTTGCCTTTGACTTTGGAACGAAAGCTTTTTGGCATTGCCTTTTGGGATATGAGAATGTTGCATTTTTTCACCCTCTCTAAGGTACAGTGAGTACCTGATAAATTGAACATTTGCGGTCTTCTTTTAATGTATAGTTCTGGTGATCTAATAAAAGTATATAAAAATGTATAATTTCGGATAACCACTGTAGTAATAGCGTTCCGCATGCAATAAAAGTGGAAAATGCTTTGCAAATTTTCAACAAATCAGAAATTTGGATAGCCCATTTATAGGACTACTGTAGTTTACCTGCCACATGCAATAGCAATGTACCGACAATGCAATTGTTTGCTTACATAGACAATGAAACACCACTTAACCCCACCAGGGCCTTTCTGTTGGTTTAATCGATCATTTTGCGTGGGATAAGTAAGTAATATACAGCGGGTGGGGGTTTTGCGGCACCTGTTGCGTATACGTCATGTTGGTCTTCAGATCTTATCGCTTATCATATGTCCCAATGATAGCTGTCACCTGGTGACTCATTCAATCACAATTCGCACGATATGTCCCATTTTACGCGTTTAATGTTTTTTCAAAAAAAAAAAAAAATAAACACCCAAATACCCATTTCTGCAGAATCGCTTGCCAGGTGTTAGATTTGAATTTACTTGATAAGTTTAAGGGCTTTGCCATAAATAAATCGCAATTTCTTAGAATAATCAAATTTTTTTGTTTGCTTCAGACAGGTGCACAAAGCTAATTTTTAATATTTTCTATATGCTTTTAAACTGCGCGTTTGTTGATATCAGTAAACGAAATGAAGATTGTAAAAGTGTAGTTGATATTGCTGACGGTCATTTTTGGACCTATACAAAATACAGTGGGGACTAAGAAACGAAAATGAATGCACCAAAACAGCATTTAATATTATCAATAAAAATGTACTCATTCGCTAATAAATTTAAACATGTTTTTTCAACCCTTTTATTCTTCAATGACACACCATTTGTATATTTAAGAATGTCGATTTTAAAATTTTAAAAAATTAAATTCCTTATTCATGTATGTAAATTTAGAATTGTTTTTAACGTAAACAAATTATAAGAATGATAAGAGTTATGGCCAAATATATAAAAGAAACAATAAATACATGCCAACGATAATATTTCCGTTCTTGGATTTGTTTTTTAATAAGAACAAACGCACCTTTGCCTTGCCTTTGTTTTCCTTTTTTCTTAAACATACGATAGTTTTAACAAACCCCTAAAAATAGCCAATAAAAATGTTTTTATAAAAACAAAGGTTTTTATATATATATATTTTAAGCACACCTATTACCAGCATTATTGACGCAAGTGACTTACCTTGCTGTATTTTACTGTAGTTAAATTGAGAGATACGCCTTGTAATAGAAGACACGCCAAAGTGGAATTTTTAATGGGTTTAAAACGTTTGACTGTCTGATTCATGGAAGGTTTAGCGTTCGCACCTAAGTGAATCAGACCACAAAACGAATGCAGACACAGAGGCAAGACTACAAGACCCCCTCTTGGTAATTATAACTCGTTCATTAGTCTTAAAAACTTTGATTTATCATTTGAAAAGGGAACCACTCAAGTGGTTACTAACTGCATCATACAAATTCCATATATACTATGTATAAATAGACACCAACCATGTGTATGCACTTGCTCACGAAAAACCGTATTTCACTGGCTTGTTTATCGTTTCCTGACCTACATATCTATTTGAATTTACTTTGCCTTTCAATTGTATTGAAACCGGCTGGAGCAGGAGCAGCTTTCTGAAGGCAGGGGCCAAGTGGAGGGGTGCGGCATTGTCTGGCCAGAAGAATCCATTAGATAATGGCCAGACGGAGGCAGACGCCAACCCAAAGGCGGCTCAGAGTGCCTCCAGATATAGACAGATGTATTATAGGGGACTATTGGGGGTTAACACTAAATGATGGACTGCCAGTGTATCCATTAAATGTATAAAACAAAAATAGTACACCTTAATAGAGGTATTTTCGGAACATTTTCCTTTTTACAAAATTATAGTGCAAACGTCTTATCAAATTCTGATGAAATAAATACAAAAAGTAAGGCGTGAAAAATGGAACTGCATTTTTTTTTATAGATGACAACTTTATTTATCAGCAAAGCCATATAAATTTAAATTTTGATCCCTTTAGATAAGATCATGCCATACTTCCCATAAATAAATCATACATCACTTCATGCAATAAAAGTTGATAAAATGTAATGTTCAAAGGTACATTACTCCGTTTCTTAGAATTGGGTAATGGGGAATGTCAGATTAATAGAAGTAATAACTACGACAAGAATTTTAGAGTATAACAAATGCGATATGAGAGTCGTTCTGACGTTGCTTCACCAAAATCAAAACAACAAACTCCGCAGTCTTTCTACTGCATTAAAATCGAACTGATTGATCAGTGGAGAATAAAATCACAAATCGCTGGAATGTGTAACTTATCAAAAGACACCAACAGAGTAAAAAGACAAAGTTATTGTATTACCAATCTAATATAAACATCACTGCGTCTATTATTGTTCTCCAACCGTCTTCGGCAATCTTTTTCTCTCCAAATTGATAACAGTTTTGCTTTTAACAAGTTCGAACTTCCTCTGGATTTATTTTTGTTTTTGCCGAGAGAACTAGAAAAGTCAAAAATTCTTGATACAAAATGGGGCTCTCTTTGGCGATTGTTTTTTTTTTTTTTTATAAGTACAGTAAGCTCACAAAAATCATTAACACTTGATGTGACCAGTAACCATTTTTGCATTTAATTTAATTCTTTCTTTTTACTCTTAAATCTTCTAAAACTGTTTTCTAAAATTTTCTTTTTATAAATTTCAATCAACACTTGTTTTGATAGTGTTTGCAATACTTTCTTCTTTTATTTTGATCACTTATCTACCCTACTTTTGGTTTGAATTTTTTTTTTTAATACTGAGAGTGAAAAAGAGGAAAGTTAAACTTGATCTAGTTGCGTGAAAGAGTTGAATATACCCGCTCGGAAGAAATAGTCGCCAAGGCAATCAACAGAAAGCCCTGACAGCTTTTTCCATTGTTCAGTTGCAGGTCCGCCCGTCCCCCCACGAACCCCCTTTATAAGCACGGGTTTTGTAGGGCGCACGAATAATAAACAGAACGAGAGAAAAACAAAAAACACAGAGGCTGGCAAACAGACTGGAATACTTTGCACTCGCTTCTATTTGTTTTATATATTTTGTAGTATTTCCATTATGTGGCACATGCCAGATCTCGAGAGGAGTTCATTTCACTGGTCTCTCGAAATCCGGTAACTTCAGTTTCGCTACTTACTATCTATCATTAATATATCAATGATCTAAAGATTGTATTTTCTTGTACATACAGTGTGCGAACTGGGAGCATCATGTGGCGGTCTTAGGAAAATCAGCAAGGGATTAATCATCGCGGATCGCGAATCGGGCATCGGGCATCACAGTTCGCAACGATCGAGATCTAGGCAGCGTAACGTAACCCAGGGACTTAAACTTCAGCAGGGAGTATAGACTGAGATCGGAGATCGTCGTTCTGCGTCAGAAGATGACCCTGACCACAACGATCACTGCCTCATCAGCCGAGAGCCAAGCGAAAATGGACGTGAAGGGCGGCGCACTTCCCGGCGAAGAGAACCTGCCCACCTCCGAGATGAATCTGCTGGCCAAGCTGGAGGCGGCCAACAAGCTCATCGAGAGCGATGCCAAGTCCCTCAACTCTCTGCACTCCACGCACAGTCGCAAGAACTCGGACACGAGTCAGATCAGCCTCACGTCGAGTAAGTATTCTGTACAATGGCATCCAAAAATTAAATAATGCAAGAAGTATTCTTGTTTTTACTAATGTGATATTTTAGTTTAAGGCTTTTAATATTTGTAAACCAATGTCGGAATCTATGCCTAACGATTTAACTATGTAAACGATATACATCCAAGTCTTCAGCTTAAATAATATTATTGTCATTATCATTGTTAAAAGCTAATAATTTTAGTACCACACAAAATATTATTATTATTATAAAGTCAATTACTACTCTATGTTGATAGTGTTTAATACGCTTTAAATAAGTAGATTTAAAAAAGGTCTAAGATTATTACCCTTTATGTTTTCGGTCAGGAAATAATACATTTATTTGTTAATTATTTATTAAATACTAAGTCGTGTTAATAAAAAGATTGAGCTTAGAACAGTACTTAAAAACATTTTTATTATAGCAAAAATAATTATAGCGTAATCATTCTATGGCAAAATCCATTTTAAAAGATATTATCGATAAGGAATTTCGTTTGGTAGCTGTATTGTGACTAGGTGACTAATGTTAAATCAGATTCTGACAAAAATCGATGACCAAATATACACTGTTCTGATAGATAGATAAATAAATATAAATAAAAATCGTAGTTAATAGGAATTTATTCAATAACAAAAGAGTTATGTCTTACTTGGGTAATTAGTTAATAATGTATTTACTTGCTTAATAAATAGAACTCGATGAGTAACAAGTATCGTATTTACAGGTGGCAACTCGGTGGCGGAGGAGGACACCTGGACGACGTGGGCCACCATCCTGAACGACTGGGAGGGAGCTCTGAAGCGCAAGAATCCCTGCGTGGGTGAGCTGGTGCGCCGCGGAATTCCGCACCACTTTCGGGCGATCGTGTGGCAGCAGCTGAGCGGAGCGGCGGAGGCGGACAAGAAACAGTATGCGGAATACATCAAGGCAACCAGTGCCTGCGAGAAGGTGATCCGGCGGGACATTGCCCGCACCTATCCCGAGGTGGAGTTCTTCAAGGAGAAGGACGGACCCGGCCAGGAGGCCCTGTTCAACGTGATCAAGGCCTATTCGCTGCACGATCGCGAGGTGGGCTACTGCCAGGGATCCGGCTTCATTGTCGGACTGCTGCTGATGCAAATGCCCGAGGAGGAGGCCTTCGCCGTGCTCGTGCAGATCATGAAGCAGCATCGCATGCGGCACATGTTCAAGCCGTCGATGTCGGAGCTTGGTCTGTGCATGTACCAGCTGGAGAACCTGGTGCAGGAGCAGATACCCGACATGCACATACACTTCCAGCAGCAGGGCTTCCAGACGACCATGTACGCCTCCAGTTGGTTCCTCACCCTGTACACCACCACCCTGAATGTCAATCTCTCATGCCGCATCATGGACGTCTTCCTCAGCGAGGGCATGGAGTTCATCTTCAAGGTGGCCCTGGCCCTGCTCCTCACCGGCAAGGAAACGCTGCTCTGCCTGGACATGGAGGCCATGCTGAAGTTCTTCCAGAAGGAGCTGCCCGGTCGCGTCGAGGCCGACGTCGAGGGCTTCTTCAATCTGGCCTACTCCCTCAAGCTGAACACCAAGCGCATGAAGAAGATGGAGAAGGAGTACCAGGACCTCAAGAAGAAGGAGCAGGAGGAGATGGCCGAGCTGCGGCGTCTGAGACGCGAGAACTGCCTGCTGAAGCAGCGCAATGAGCTGCTCGAGGCCGAAAGTGCCGAACTCGCGGATCGCCTGGTGCGCGGCCAAGTCTCCAGAGCTGAGGAAGAGGAAACTAGGTAAAGATCTCTAACTAAGGTGATTGGTTAAGTTTAAGAAATTCTTAGTTTTTCTCCAATTGGCGCCTTTGTAACCATCATACTTATCTTAACAAATCAGCTTAATGTTGTTATTGTAGAATATAATGTAGCAAAGTTAATTAGTGTTTGTTAAAAAGATTTGACAGTGCGTTGATTATTAGTACATATTACTTAATTTACTATATACTTGATTTGTATTATATTCCAGCTATGCCATTCAAACAGAGTTGATGCAATTGCGGCGCTCTTATTTGGAGGTCTCCCATCAGCTGGAAAACGCCAATGAGGAGGTCCGCGGCTTGAGTCTTCGCCTTCAGGAGAATGTGAGTATATTGTGGCCATCTCCGTGAACTCATCCCTCAAATACATCGATCCCCGACCCCAATGTCTCGGTCATGTGTCCTGTAACTAAAACGGAATCTGTTGCTAATCTTCTGTATTCTTTTCTATTTTATTTGATTTCTTATGGTTGTGGTGCTTCAAATTACACACACAAAAATGTTCGCTTTAATCCGAAAAAAAAAAACAAAAAAAAAATGAAAATAAATACTCAAATCCCATACAGAATGTATCCATCGACAGCGTAAGTATCTCGTGAGCCACTCACGCAACCTCGTTTTGTAGTTTGAATGTACAATACAATAACTCTGCCGTTCGATTGTTTTGCATGTTTATTGTTTTGCCCTAAATACATAAATAGAAAATATAAACACATATTCGTATTTGTAACCAATAGGCTCAGAAATTCTTCAATAATATCGATTTCTGGGCTTCTTCCATCTTCATTTATTATGCCATTGTACTATAGAAATTAACCTTATTCAATTAGTTGTGTTTGTTTTTAAATATAATTCATATATATTAGTATCAATTTATCATTAAATATAAATCATATACAAAATTAAAACTTGCAAAAATATTTTATTGCTAATAAATCATATAACATCAATCCTTTTTGGAAAATTATAAAATATAATTTAATAATGCTTTAAACTTTAGTGTTATTTTTCCTGAATTTTACCAAGTTAAGTACGCAACGAAGAATAACGTAGGATAAGTACATATGTAAATGAGCGTGTAACCCAAGTAAACTTATTTGTATCATAGCTAACCACCCACACTCTGCATGCCCAAAACCCACATAAATTTATAATAAATCAGTCTAAATTAATGCCATTCTTGCTTGCCATTTAGAACAACTCCCGGCAGTCGTCCATCGACGAGCTCTGCATGAAGGAGGAGGCGCTTAAGCAGCGCGACGAGATGGTCTCCTGTCTGCTGGAGGAGCTGGTGAAAGTGCGCCAGGGTCTGGCCGAGAGCGAGGATCAGATCAGGAACCTGAAGGCCAAGGTGGAGGAGCTGGAGGAGGACAAGAAGACGCTGCGGGAGACGACGCCGGACAATTCGGTGGCCCACCTGCAGGACGAGCTGATTGCCAGCAAATTGCGCGAGGCGGAGGCCTCACTCTCGCTGAAGGACCTCAAGCAGCGGGTGCAGGAGCTGAGCAGCCAGTGGCAGCGACAGCTGGCGGAGAACCAGCGCAGCGAAAGCGAACGCACCACCAACGCCGTGGACTCCACGCCCAAGAAGCTGCTGACCAACTTCTTCGACAGCTCCAAGAGCAGCGAGCACACCCAGAAGCTTGAGGAGGAGCTGATGACCACACGCATTCGCGAAATGGAGACGCTCACCGAGCTCAAGGAGCTGCGACTGAAGGTCATGGAGCTGGAGACGCAGGTCCAGGTGTCCACCAATCAACTGCGGCGGCAGGACGAGGAGCACAAGAAGCTCAAGGAGGAGCTCGAAATGGCCGTGACCAGGGAGAAGGACATGTCCAACAAGGCGCGCGAACAGCAGCACAGGTGAGCACACGTTTATTTAAATATTAAACGTGGCACTTGTGTATAATATGCATCCCAAAATCAATTTCCAGATACTCGGATCTGGAATCTCGCATGAAGGATGAGCTGATGAACGTGAAAATCAAATTCACCGAGCAGAGCCAAACGGTGGCCGAACTGAAACAGGAAATTTCACGACTAGAGACCAAGGTAAGCACTACATACTTTTATTTTTTCTATATATTTACTTATGCTACCCTGCCCTTTATAATCACAGAACTCAGAGATGCTCGCCGAGGGCGAACTGCGCGCCAATCTGGATGATTCGGATAAGGTGCGCGACCTGCAGGACAGGCTGGCCGACATGAAGGCGGAGGTGAGCAAGGGACGCCATTCGATGCCCAGAGCATTTGCCGCTAATCCCCCACTGCATTTGGTTTTGGTTTCGTTTTAAGTTCATTCAAATGCCAGCAACAGCAGCAGCAGACATTCACTAATAACACGCACCCACCCACTTTACACCCACTCAACAATCACTCACCTAACTGACTTAACCAGACTAAGACCAGAGCAGAGTAATATTTCCAATTTGGAGGAGCGCCACCTTAAATATGCTTTGTTTGCTAGTTAACTTCAGGTCAAATCTGTTTGTTCTTGGAGGCTCAGAAAGTATTTAATTTACCAGCAGTAAATAAAATAAAATTGAGTTTTAATCCTTTGTATATTTACCTTCTATATATATTCTATTCTAAAAATGTTAATTTTAAAAATTATAAAACAAAAATAATATAGTTAAACAAAAACATAGGTAAATATTGTTCATATGCTGATATTCAATATCAATATCCAAAAAAATTGTGATTGTAAGTTAAAAGGGTCTATCCCTGCCCAGAACAGTCAGTATTTTGACTGATATATTTATTTTTACCATGTAAGAACATTCAGATTTGACATGAAAGACAAGTTAAACAGTTTGTATAGAAAATTCTTTATATTCTGTTGCGCTCGCTCACTGTGGCATATCAACAGGCTTATGAGTTTGCTAAGCTTCACTGTATACACCCTTTAGTTTTCGCTATTCTTTGATTTTATTGTTTCTTTTATTTTGCGTTTGATTACTTTTGAAAACCCATTCCGTAACCCATCTGTGAGCCAAGATAATAATCGGGTATTTCTCATTGAATTTCTTTCTCACACGCAAAAACAAAAAAACAATGCGTTGTTGGTTTTGCTATATAGTATCCCACGCCAATAACCAGCCCCGACACTGAACCGTGGAAATGGATAAGCTAAACTAATTTTAACACAACCCAAAAACGAAAACCAATTGAATAAAAGCAAAATTAAACGAGCAAAATTACCAAAAAAAAAAAAAACAAAAATTAATAAAAGCAAACTACCGAAAAAACCAATTTGAAAGTCAAGAAGCCACAATTATCCTCTAATCTTTATTGCCACACACACACACAACCCTCGAAAACATTAAAAATCCAACCTCAAGCAGCAGGCCAATCTACCAACTACCCAGGTCTCTATGAAACTGCTCAAAGCATCTCAGTACTTTTAAGCATTGCGTATTTGTAGCGTTCGTTGACCTTAACTTTCCATAGTTTGCACGTTCTACAGCTTCTAGACCCTCGCCATCGTTTATACCCCCTTTCCATAGTTTGAAAATGCATGAATCATTCAATTGGCAACATCATAAAAAATTGTTTCCAAGGGAAAAAAAATGTAGTTTATAAATTACAAAAATTAGCTTGTCTGAAATTCTGTTCATAGTGACTTCTTTTCATAAACAAAAATGAGCATTCAAAATATTCAAAAATTTGTTTTTGCTTTTATAAAATATTTAAACAGCATAAATAATATAAATTATACCATAGTAAACATTTATAAGTATATTTGGTAATAGATATACATTAATTTTGCTGCCCAGTGTAATGGTCTTTTAATTCACAAAGCTTTTTACTAGCTTTGAGCTTATTCTCAAACCCTAATCTGTAAGTTGTTCTAGTTCCGATCTAGCAAAACTTTGCCTCTGTTCTATGCTTTATTTTTTGTATGGGTCAATGACTTCACTCGTATTCGTTCTAAGATTGAATGCATCGGATGCTAGTTGTTGCCATTGAAATTGCCTGATTTTAATCAATCTTCGCTGTTGTTTGTTTTGCATACTTGTGATGACGTATTGTGATCGTTGGTCTTGACACGAGTACCTGTCATCAGTTGATGCTGTTTTGACACGAGTTCGTTTTGGCCTTGCCATAAAATTCCCATCAGCTTTGGATTATTTATTTAGATTTCTAATTGAGACGTTTTAGTCCCTGCGGAAACGTTTCTAGACCTGTGATTTATAGAAATGCGTTTTGTAATGTTATTAATTTTCTGCACGCTTGCATGCCTTCTTATCTAACAGACATATTCATAGCAACTAATCAATAAGGTATTTAAGACACGTTTCTGTACACGAACACTTTAATCAGATCTCTGTTTAACCAGATCTATGTTTTTCTTATTTCTAAATTACTAAGTAAAGCAATTAATGGCGGTTTTTATAGGCATATTTTTTTAGATATTTTATTGAAAATTGTCAATCAAATTTATTTTGAAGAATTCAAATCAGTTCTGTTCTCAACATATTTTACTTAAATATGATAAAGTCTAATTTTATTTAAAGAGAAATCTTTTGCATATTTTAGCCGCATGACCAAAATTCAATAATTGCTTTGGCCTTGTAATTGTAAATATGTTTTTTTTTTGAACTATTTCTTTTTAAATAATATTTAAAAGAACTTTCAACTAATGAAACCTTTTGATTTACTATAGCTGACGGCGCTAAAGAGTCGTGGCAAATATCCGGGCACAAAACTGCGCAGCTCATCGATCCAATCGATCGAATCGACCGAGATCGACTTCAACGATCTGAATATGGTGAGGCGCGGGAGTACGGAGCTGTCGACATAACCTAGAGATCGACCAGATCCAGCAGATCCTCACCAAATAAGAACCACAAACACAACCACAACCAGGAGAATAGCAGCGAGTGAGAGGGGAGAGAAAAATCAGGGCAGTACAGGATACACCCATAAGTATATGGGGAAGCGAGCTGAAGCCGATTTATATATATATGCATCATTGATATATATGTAAGGGCAGGCCTGTGATCACAAAGAAGGAACGAATCGGATGGAGCATCAGCATCGGGCACAGCAAGTTAATTAAGGATCGAGGAGGAGAGAGCAGAATAGTTGCAATCCCATTACAATACTATTTTATTTATGTTAATATTCGGTTAGACTTAACTATTATGATATGCATATTTTAGTATGATTATTTGTATCTACATTTTTTTTTTTTGGCAATAACTTTATTACTGTTATGTTTTACACTCGAAACACACTCATATTTATTTATTTTAAATCCTAATTGAAACGATATTGTGAGTATTTTACAACCCCTGTACATTGATCGATGGCAACTGATCCGATGCGATGGATTGCAGATAGGTGATTGGCATTTGGCATTTGGATATCCCCTAGATATATAGCACATATGCGCAAAGCAATGAATTTTATGTATACCCCCAAGAACCCATTTCCCTAACCAAGCATCCTGTGAATCACTTTTAATGTAAGTTTTAAGCGAATCAAATTGTTCTTTGGCCAGGCGAAGAAAACGTTTTTAATCAATGCGCCGACTTTTTAAAGTGTACTCATTTTTCGGTTTCGTCATATGATTTGTATTATGATTTCATCCCCGTAGAATGATATTAACACTCATACACACATTTGTCTGGAATGAATTTTGTAACTCTCGTATAGTAAGCTAAACCAATTTAAACTTTAAAGTAAAATAAAACCAAGTGCGAAAGACAAAGTAACAAGCGTGGCCAAATGCAGAGAGAAATGCAAGATGAAAAACTGAAAAACAAATATTATACAACTATTACAAATAGTTTAAAACGATATGTGAAAGAACCACGAGAAAAGATATCCCATTTTCTCCCCGTTTTAAGAACGATATTACGATAACGACTACGATATTCACACTAACGATATTCTACTTAGTTAAAAGTAGCGCTTTTCTAAACCTCTAAAAAAGAAGTATGATTTATATGGTTATTTTAATCAATACCAATCTTAAACGATTTGGCAGCTTGTCGCGAAAACCGATTTCGACATCGAATTTCGAACGATTACCGATTATCCACAAACAATACAATTATTCAGGTTAAACCGTTTTCCATGTGCAATATTATAGGTTTTTTTTTGTTTCCTATTCTGTATCAAGTCTTTATTATCATTCGTTAGCATGATGTCCTCATTGTTTAGGTTTGTTACTTACCGCGTTTAAGACCGATAACTTAATTTTCGTAATTACATTGATTTGCACATCATGACAAACCGATTAGAATCAGCGAGAGAAGTATGAAATCTATGTAATATGTTTTTAGCACGTAAGAAAGGCGAAAATGGTGTCACAAAAAACTTTGTTATGTAAACACTTAGTATATGTAATGCCTAAGTTTTGTTCCCGACTTTTGATAAACGACTAGAATTTTTTGTTCTATGCGATAATTAATTATTATGATTATGTAATGTATGTACTATATATATTTATATATATTTCTGCGGCTAAAAGACGAGGTTGTTGGGGCAGTATTAACAATCAGCAGCAGTTAACAGACATTTTAATATATGAAACATTCCCGAGAAAGTTAAATTTCCCCCAAAAACAGTTTCCCCAACAGCCTCGAGTCTTAAGAAATTGGCAAATCTAGAGTTAATTGCGTATTATGTTATGGCAAGCGAAGGCACAAATTATACGATATCTAAAATAGTTTATACAAATTTATACCCATGCATATGGAGCATTGTTGGCCAAAGTCTAGACTTGGTCCGTGCATAGTTGATGTTAACCGATTTGATTGACCAATAAGTGCGGAATTTGTGAGAAATACTGATCAAACAATTGCCCCACTTAGTGAATCATCGGTGAGGTACAATGAACCCCCGTCGATAGCAGCTAATTTTATTGCCTTGTCACTTCGATTTGATAAATGTGAAAAGACTTTGCAGTTTATCAATTTAGCGTGCGAATGTCAACGACTTTGGCCAAGGCAGAAAGCAGACGGTAAAACGATTTGTTGACTCTGCCAAACGGTCGAAACTCCTTTGAATCCAATTAATTAGCGGGCACACTCGCATATAGCATATACTTAATGCAAATAAATCAAGTTCAGCTTCCATTGAGCAAAATCAGTCTTCAATGTTAATTTTAATTGGCACTTATTTATTGCGTTTCTTGTTTCATTCATTGTTGACCATTGAGCAAAACCCAACAAACCCAACAAACCAACAAACAAAATTCAAATCACAAATGGAATGTAGTTGACAAAATACCACAACAAATAGTGTTATATACTTTACATATACAAAAATATATATATACATAACTATATCAATATAACGATAAAACTGACAACTGAAGAGCAGAGAAAACTCGCAGGGCTACAGTATGGATGAAGTAAAATTCAACTAAAACTACAAAAATCAATAAAATTAAACAGATATACAAAACGAAATCAAAGTTACAATTTTTAGTATTAAATAAATAAAATGAAAAGCAAAAAATATAGCGTTTGTATTGGGAATTATTTCAGCCAATTTTAGCTTATCGGCCAGGGAAAAAAGTCAACCCCATCAATGAACCCTAGCACTGAACTCCAGTTTTTAATCTACTTGCAGTCTATGTGTGTACTATATACACTGTAGAAATCAGAACGTGCAGGCAAAATAAATCGCACAGCATTAAGAGTAACTGTTTTATGCAGCTGGCGACCTATACTACCCACCCACAATCGATTCAGAAAAATAAATTTGGATTTGATTCAAACACTGATTTTTAAAAATCGATTTTTTGACTAATTAATTTTTTGACCAATTTTTGCATTTTTTATATATCATCATTTTTTCGAAAATTGGCTAAATTTAAACATTTTTAACTGTGACTGCTTTTCGATTGGAAATTTTATTACGAATTCAACGGTGTATGACATTTCAACATTTGACCATTATTTCTCAGGGTTTTGACACAAAAACCAAGTTTTTAATGTGTTTTTTGCGATTTTTTGTTATTACTTTGCCAAAATAAGACCCAAAGTCAAAAGAGTTGCTATTTTGAACAGCTGGCAACCCATGCCATCCATCCCTGATCGATTAAAAACAATTAATTTAGTTTTGACAAAAAAACCAAATTATGAAAAACGTTTTTTGATAAATTTATTTACGTCCAAATTTCTGACTTTTTTGTAAGGGGGTACATCATAATTTTTTGCCGAAATTCGAAAATCTGAAAAAATTTTAACTGTGAATGCCATTTGATTGGAAATTTTATTACGAATTCAACTGTGTATGACATTCCAACATTAGACCATTATTTCCCAGGGTTTTGACACAAAAACCAAGTTTTTAATGTGTTTTTTGGGATTTTTTGCGATTTTTCAAACAACATTTTTTCTGAAGAGTCTTTTTGCTGTAACTTTACCAAATTAAGACCCAAAGTCAAAAGAGTTGCTATTTTGAAAAGCTGGCAACCCATACCATCCATCCCTGATCGATTGAAAATAATTTATTTTGTCTTGACGCAAAAACCGAATTTTGAAAAACGTTTTTTGACAAATTTATTTTTGTCCAAATTTTTGACTTTTTTGTAAGGGGGTACATCATAATTTTTTGCCGAAATTCGAAAATCTGAAAAAATTTTAACTGTGAATGCCATTTGATTGGAAATTTTATTACGAATTCAACTGTGTATGACATTCCAACATTAGACCATTATTTCCCAGGGTTTTGACACAAAAACCAAGTTTTTAATGTGTTTTTTGGGATTTTTGGCGATTTTTCAAACAAAATTTTTTCTGTAGTCTTTTTGCTGTAACTTAACCAAAATAAGACCCAAAGTCAAAAGAGTTGCTATTTTGAACAGCTGGCAACCCATACCATCCATCCCTGATCGATTAAAAACAATTAATTTAGTTTTGACAAAAAAACCGAATTTTGAAAAACGTTTTTTGATAAATTTATTTATGTCCAAATTTCTGACTTTTTTGTAAGGGGGTACATCATCATTTTTTGCCGAAATTCGAAAATCTGAAAAAATGTTAACTGTGAATGCCATTTCATTGGAAATTTTATTACGAATTCAACGGTGTATGACATTCCAACATTAGACCATTATTTCCCAGGGTTTTGACACAAAAACCAAGTTTTTAATGTGTTTTTTGGGATTTTTGGCGATTTTTCAAACAACATTTTTTCTGAAGAGTCTTTTTGCTGTAACTTTACCAAAATAAGACCCAAAGTCAAAAGAGTTGCTATTTTGAAAAGCTGGCAACCCATACCATCCATCCCTGATCGATTGAAAATAATTTATTTTGTCTTGACGCAAAAACCGAATTTTGAAAAACGTTTTTTGACAAATTTATTTTTGTCCAAATTTTTGACTTTTTTGTAAGGGGGTACATCATCATTTTTTGCCGAAATTCGAAAATCTGAAAAAATTTTAACTGTGAATGCCATTTGATTGGAAATTTTATTACGAATTCGACGGTGTATGACATTCCAACATTAGACCATTATTTCCCAGGGTTTTGACACAAAAACCAAGTTTTTAATGTGTTTTTTGGGATTTTTGGCGATTTTTCAAACAACATTTTTTCTGAAGAGTCTTTTTGCTGTAACTTTACCAAAATAAGACCCAAAGTCAAAAGAGTTGCTATTTTGAAAAGCTGGCAACCCATACCATCCATCCCTGATCGATTGAAAATAATTTATTTTGTCTTGACGCAAAAACCGAATTTTGAAAAACGTTTTTTGACAAATTTATTTTTGTCCAAATTTTTGACTTTTTTGTAAGGGGGTACATCATCATTTTTTGCCGAAATTCGAAAATCTGAAAAAATTTTAACTGTGAATGCCATTTGATTGGAAATTTTATTACGAATTCGACGGTGTATGACATTCCAACATTAGACCATTATTTCCCAGGGTTTTGACACAAAAACCAAGTTTTTAATGTGTTTTTTGGGATTTTTGGCGATTTTTCAAACAAAATTTTTTCTGTAGAGTCTTTTTGCTGTAACTTAACCAAAATAAGACCCAAAGTCAAAAGAGTTGCTATTTTGAACAGCTGGCAACCCATACCATCCATCCCTAATCGATTAAAAACAATTAATTTAGTTTTGACGCAAAAACCGAATTTTGAAAAACGTTTTTTGATAAATTTATTTTTGTCCAAATTTCTGACTTTTTTGTAAGGGGGTACATCATCATTTTTTGCCGAAATTCGAAAATCTGAAAAAATTTTAACTGTGAATGCCATTTGATTGGAAATTTTATTACGAATTCAACGGTGTATGACATTCCAACATTAGACCATTATTTCCCAGGGTTTTGACACAAAAACCAAGTTTTTAATGTGTTTTTTGGGATTTTTGGCGATTTTTCAAACAACATTTTTTCTGAAGAGTCTTTTTGCTGTAACTTTACCAAAATAAGACCCAAAGTCAAAAGAGTTGCTATTTTGAAAAGCTGGCAACCCATACCATCCATCCCTGATCGATTGAAAATAATTTATTTTGTCTTGACGCAAAAACCGAATTTTGAAAAAAAATTTTTGACAAATTTATTTTTGTCCAAATTTTTGACTTTTTTGTAAGGGGGTACATCATCATTTTTTGCCGAAATTCGAAAATCTGAAAAAATTTTAACTGTGAATGCCATTTGATTGGAAATTTTATTACGAATTCAACGGTGTATGACATTCCAACATTAGACCATTATTTCCCAGGGTTTTGACACAAAAACCAAGTTTTTAATGTGTTTTTTGGG